TCTGTTATCACAAAGTTCAAACTGCAGATTCCAGTAATTTGTGAGTTTGGGGTTTACAATATTATACATATTTTGAATTTAATTCTTAAACTAAATTGAGATTTTCACTGTGATTTAGAATAAGAAGATTAACAAAGTATACTGATAGGCTGCCTTCTTAAACAGTATTAATTTTACTACCTTTTCCCCCTTTTGTGTCTGATTTAGAATGCAGTGCGTCATAATCTTAGCCTGCACAAGTGTTTTGTTCGAGTCGAAAATGTGAAAGGAGCAGTATGGACAGTGGATGAAGTAGAGTACCAGAAGCGAAGGTCACAAAAGATAACAGGGTACGTTGGTGTTTGGTTTTGTTCAACTGAGTTGTTCTGTTATTTTGTAACCTGAGTGAGTCCTCTGTGTACTACAACCTGACAGACAAAGCGAGCACTTATGTGGAGAATACATAGCAAGCTAATAGCTATGCTGGTGCATTCTCTTCAGTGAGCTAACATTTATTTCATTTTTGTGGTAAACACTATTTTCTCTACGTTCCTTGCCTGCCTGACTTCCCCATATAGTCTGCTACAAGGAAAGCAATAATGGTTTTTTCAGTATATTTCACCATATGTTTGTCATTTTAATTCCATCTACCATAAGTTCTCCTACTATATATTAAAAATAGCCCTGTGTACATATGTTGCCCATGTGTTAGGAGTTTCATATGTGCTTGTTTTTACTGTAAACCTTTGACAGAAGTGGGAGTCGTTCAAGGTCATTTTGGAATATAGGTATCATACACTACAGTACTGACCTCAAAAATATCTTCTTGATGAGGGTAGTATTCATGAGAAGCCTTCACAGGAGGACCTTTGGCATGCTTACTGCCCTACTTTCAAATTAATCCCATGTCAGTGTGACTGGTTCTGTGGATGCTTTTTGTTCCTTGAGAGTATATAATTAGTTTTGATAAAACCATTCAGATAAAACCAAAGGTGCAGAGACAAGAGCTAGAGGTTTTTCTTTGCAGGAAGGTATTCTATTTCTGTAATGCATCTGTTTGTAGACAGTGACCCACCTGACCTCTGGAGTCATCCTCTGTACTAATTTTATTGAAAATATAATTATATAGTGATCTAGCATATAGTATTTAATCTGATTTAAATATGGTGTGTTTGATTTGCTGGAAACTAATTGATCTACTGTATTGTTCATTTACAATTATTTATACATTATTGTACCCTCATATTTTCTTGGTAGGGAAAAGTAAGATCTTTTTTATTTGGTACCTTTGTGTAGTTATATGGAACGTACACAACTGTGTACACATGTTAGTTCAGAAAACAAAAATAAATGATGCAGCACGGGTAGCAGAGGCAGGTGTCGTACAAAGTTTAAAGCTATTTCTATTAAATTCTTTCAGTGAGATCAGAACCTTTATGAGTCACTTATGGCCCTGCTGTCAGAGCAAATTTCCACGTGGGCCTAATTATAACAAGACTTTTGCTTTTCTGATGCAAGTAAATCAATGTGTTCTAGTGGGTTGAGCCCCTTCACCCTCAACTTTGTTTTTGCTGTCTAAACTCTGGTCTTCTGAGCTGACAAACCCATCCATTAACCCAATGAGCCACCCAGGATGTCTGCCTGTTTTTTAAACTTTGAAAAATCATTTATTTTCAGAAGCCCAACATTAGTGAAAAACATACCCACCAGCTTAGGCTATGGAGCAGCTCTTAATGCAAGCTTGCAGGTAAAAAATACTAAGTTATTCTTTCTTTGCTAATAATAAATGTATTTCACATATTTCATTTCTGCTTATACTTTGGTATAGAGTTACCTATTTTTATGTTTATGTGGACCTGATGGTCATTCTAAATAGTTGAGTTTATCATCCAACTAAGTTGTATTACCTAGCACTGCAAGTACTAGTTCTTATTCATTCTACTTTTGATGTGAAGAAGCAAGAAGGACACCCTGTGGCAAAATCTGGAACACTCAGTTTTGCTGCAAATGTTAGATTGATAGAAGCTTTTGCAAATGCATGTGGATATGCATTAATATTTATCCAAGCTGTCATAAATGATTTCACATCATAGTGTTGGGAACATGGTGCTCATGGCAAAAACTTTAAAGTTTAATTATAATATATAATTTTTATGCAGAAGAGGCAAATGTCAGGACTTTTTTATTTTGAGGTAAGTTCTGGTCATTTTTTAAAGTACAGCAGCTGCCTGCATTATAAAGGAGCCATACATTGTGTGGAAGGGCAAAGGGGTTAAGTGTAATTCAGAGTCAAAAAATGATATAAAACTAGAAAATGCCATGAATATCAGAACATAGTTAATAATGGAAAATAATGAAACCTAAGTAAGAGAAATAGCAAACCAGAAGTAGAAATGCTGTTATATTCAGAATGTGAAAATAATTGGAAATGCACTAAATCCTTCTGATCACCTCTACAACTACACAAAATAAGCTGCTCTGTGTGTGTATATTTCTAAATGTTCATAAATGTAAAAGTGCTTTATATATATATATAGAGAGAGAGAGAGTAATCATTTTGTTTTTTACTCTTCATTTTGGTAGGCTGCACTGGCAGAGAGTAGTTTACCATTGCTTAGTAACCCAGGACTGATAAATAACGCATCCAGTGGCTTACTGCAGGCAGTCCATGAAGATCTCAATGGTTCACTGGATCACATTGACAGTAATGGAAATAGCAGTCCAGGCTGCTCTCCTCAGCCTCACATGTAAGTCCAGTTAGCTTCCTTTCAAGAAAAAAATGCCTTAGCCTAAGACACAATATTACTCAAAACTGCTTTGAAAGATGGTAAGTGCAATGTCTGGAGCTGTATATTTGAAACTAAACATTTATATTAAAACATTTAAATAGATGTGTCTTCATTTACTTTGTAGTCAGATTGGTGTAAGCTCTTTTTTTTGCCTTTTTCTTTTTTTAAACTTCATCATCTTGCTTGCAAGCATTGAACATAATGATCTCTGGGTCATTTTCACAGCCTGGTTTGTAAGGTGTAGTCAGAATGTTCACATTGGAATTAGTTGTAATTTTAACTATGAGTCTCTAAACCATTTATGAACTGTAGTAGAGATATTGCCCATTTATATAAACCATAAAATGCAAACTTTAACTGTTGCCCGCAGTTTACATAGAAGCCAGTAAAGTGTAACTTTTTGCCTGTCATATAAATCAGTGTAATTACATATTCAAGTTTAATTACTGGTGCGTCTGTATTGGCAAGGTTTATATGTTATATTTTATGCAAGACTACGATTCCTATTAATATTTAGCAGCTAACTATATCATTAATTACTCTAAAATCTTTCCCCTACCATCTTTTTAATGGAGCTGAGAGAGTGGAAGTATTAAAAATTGATGTATTGTGGATTTCAGAAATGTGTCTGAAGCTTTAGAAATGCCTGGCCTTAATCAGTGGTGTCAAACATGGCAGTTTCTTGTTTACTAAATAGTAAAACATGTATCTTGGAGGTATTGTTTCCCAGGTTATTTATATAATAATTAGCAGTGTGATATCTAAGTAGAATTAGTCTTAAGTTTACTGTAGAGTGATTTTTAATGTGTATCTATAATTATGGTATCTCTTTTTTTATGTTTAAAAAAGCTGATCTCATTTGCCTTTTATCATTCCATTTTCTCTTTCACATTTTAAATAGTCATTTTAATTTCTAGGGTGGGATATTTAGCAGTAACAGTATTTAGAACAGACTCCGTTTTTACTTATGCTCTGGTGTGTGAAGAATCCATTTTGATCTGACCTTTTTTTTTAGGGGAAATATTTTACCAATTTTTGCTTCTTTTGTTTGGTATGTTAATATATCTGTGATCACATAGAAATGTTTATTGTCATGCAGTTAATTGTTTTATTGTACATTTATTCTACTTGCCTTTGAAAATAATACACTGTGAACATTCATGTATTTTATCAGGTTCCAAACCATTACTTTTTCAAAATGGAAAAATTTGTCTTTTGGAAGTGTCTTTAGATGTATTAAATAATACAAAAGAAGTAATAAAACTTGAAGTAGAAAGAACATGAATATATGCTCCTGAGAGTAACACTACTTTAAAACAAGTAAAGTGAGCAATCAGACAAAAGTTTTTATATCCCATGCTTTATGCTATCAACCATGCAGTGGGTAGCTTGAGGCCTTTTACTTTTAGCAGTTCTCCTGAGTATGCTAATGCTCTCTTCCTGTATAAAATGCCAAGACAATAAAACTTTAAAGAGCAAACAAGAGTTAGATCATGTGTGTTAAAAACAGCTACTTTATAGAAAAGAATGACACTTGCTATTAAAGTTGTTTTGTAAGTGTTTGGCAGATCTGTTTACATATCTTATGCACCGTCTGCCATTCTGCTGGATAAACTGAGATATCTGTGCATATGATTATGTAGATATGGCTACACTGATAGCTGTGTTTATAGCTAAAATACTGCGTATTGTAGCAGTTCTTGCCTATAAAAAAGGCAAATACCTGGTTACACCTCAACTCAAGACTCAGCCTTCCTCTTCCATTTTTATGACATGCCATTTGTCCAAAGATGCAGTTTTGGGACTTACTGTGGTGACTCTTCTGAAACTTGTTAAGGATGTGTTGCTCAGTTCTTGATAGATTGAAGCAACAGAATGTAAATGCTGTGAGATACCAATGGAGAAAGAGCCAATGCTCATTCATCTCTTATACCAAACAGTGCAAGATCACTGAGCTTCTGTGAGACTATGAGCTGTTAGGCAAAAGATACAGGCTGTGACTAGATACCTGATCGCTTCTGACATTTTTGTCCTTTCTTTGATAAGACAAAAAGGGAATGAATACAATCTGCAAGGAAAAGTCAAGGAAGGTAGAGGTTTGTGTGGGAGGCAGAGGACCAAGGCAGAAAAGAGGCCTCTTCCTTGCCTGCATGACCACATTGGTCAGGGCTCCTTATTTTTGTTCTTCTTAAGAGCATTACTTAAGAAAATGAGAATATAGGGAGAGCAAGACGGAGGTAAAATATGGCAAACAATGAAGACACAGATTTTGCATTACCTACACAGATTACATAATACCATTTTTTTAAAATGAAAAATAGTTAATTATCTAGTAAAAAGAATGGATTTTACTCACACAAGCACAAACTTATTTTAGTCTCCTGAGAAAGTTCATCCAGGAAGACTGGATGTTTCTCCCCTAGAAAAGTGTTCTGTTTGCGTGATAATTGCTGTACTCACCTATGAATTTGGGGGCTCTATTAATCTCCAAGTGGATTAAACCTCTATCTCCTGATTCCCAGGAGGCTATACTAGCCATGACACCAGGTAAATGCTGAGCAATTACCTTGCCTGCCATCTTGTACCTGGCACACAGCCAGGAACAATGGAGAATGGTGTTAGGGAAAGAAGCAAGAGGTTGTGCACAATTTAGAGATCACAGTATTCATCTGGGAAGGGGCAGAATTTGGATTCTGTACAAGCTTTCAGGGCAAGATATTTGTTTATTATTAGAACATCGGCAGGAAATGTGAAAAGAGTCCCAGTGGCAGTGTCAAAGCCAACCATCTCAGGCATTAGGTTGTTAGAATTGTATCAGATATTGTTTTATCAGATAAATGTATGATAGCAAAATTTTCTTATTTTGGAATGTTCATACTGATGTTTTTAGCATAAATACGTCTTTTTATAAACTTAATGAATAATATATGTGTGTGAAGAAGTCAGTATTTCCATGCATGAGAAAGGGAACATTATCAGAAACATTGATTTCTGTTACTGTGGTACCTTAGCTACTGAGTGTCAGAGAGTGGGGAAATTATTCCAGTCTTTGGATATGAACCTAGTTCTTCACATCTGGTTTTTGAAACAGGATAGTAAGAGCAGTAAAGACATCAACTTACCCATCTGCGACCAGGTATCTTAACATAGGTGGGCAAATCAACTTACTTAGACAATAGTTTCTGTTCATTGACTAGAGAAAGACAGTAGGTCTATAACTTCAAGTAACTGTATCACATTTAAGTGCTTGTTAAGTGCAGCGAGTCCCAGCCAGAGTATTTAGGGCACTTTAAAAGCTTTAAAATTTTGGCCTCGGGTAATGTAATATAATCCGCTCCATTTCTTATGCTTTTTGAACACTTAAAAATACTGCAGTAAGTTGTAGGTGATCAGGATAACCATGGCCTGGTAGCTGGGGTAACTCTTGTATTAATAATTACGTAAAGCATCTGAAATTTTATGCTATGTGCCTTCCAGTTTCCTTTCTCTGTCTGATGAAAGATGGTAATTCCATGATCCAGTATGCAACATATCGCTAGTGGGATCTTAAATCCTAGGTTTACTTTTTGTGTTTCATCAGTATTAAATCTGAGTTTTGTCTTTGGTCTTCAAGTCCAGTTCCTGGTATGTGGGCATTGAGTGCATCCTTGATATAAATCTTCACTGAGAAGGTGTGTTACTTATCATGGGCATATATGTTCTGTTCAAAATTCCAGTTTCTTATAAGATCAGTTGTCAATAATCAGTGTCAGACAATTGTATTTTCATTTAAGTCAATCCTTAAGACTGTTTCTTCCTTAAATTTTTCAGTGTGGACTACTTCTGGAAAATTATTGTGAGTTATAGCTGATAAGCAACAGGTTTCAAAGTGACAAATACAACTGAAGGTATTCATTACTGATGTGAAATGAGTTGCTGCTAATCTTGCATAACAATTGCACACGGATGTAGTTGGAAGGTCCAAAGTACACACCTTTGGAGTATAAATGCAGACTTCTGAAGTAAAAAAAAGAAACTACAAGCATCCAAACAATGCAATTAGGGCTGCATGGCTGTGGAAAACTTTGGAAAAACTAATATTGTTCCTGAGGAAACAACACTATTGTGTAAGACATGGAATGATGCTTAAAACTATAGGTTCATGCATTAGTGATAATGCAACTTCTTTTTAACAGCATTTTTAACAACTTCTTTTTAACAACATAAAAAACATCCTTGTCAGGATACTGCTTGTAGTGGTTTTGAGTCCAGGCCCTCCTTGGTGACCAGGTTGTAACAAAGGAACAAAGGCCATGTTCTCAGTATTCCATACGACTTTTACGTAAGGAGTATAAATAAGAAGGGAGAGGAAGCTCTCGCTCTCTTTCTTCCTGCGGACCGAAGGTGAAGGTTCTTTGCTGTCGCTCTGCCCGGGCGAGGGAGTGAACCTAGTGCGCCTACTTGGCCTTGAGAGGCAAATAATGCCAGCGGTTCTTTGGTGCGGTTCGCTGTTCTCTTGAGGGAAGTATTTTGCTTTTTATCCCTTTTTATCTTTTTTTCCCTTTTCCCTTTTTTGGGGGGTTCCCTGTGGGTGTTATATTGTATATAATTCTATATATATATATAAATGTGTTTAACTTGAAATTCAGTTTGGTTTGGGTTCTTTCAATTTTTTTCGTAATCTTTTCGGTCTGCTGTGAGAGAGGGAGAGGAAAGGTTTTGTCCCTGTGGTCCGGGCACTTGGCTGGGAGCCAAGTCCAACCTGGGACACTGCTGAAGAGTTTTGGAGAGATTTGAAAGTCAGTTCTTTCAGAACTAATTATTTTGGATTTTTAAATTAACAACAGGATCATAATGAAATCAACTTTCTGTTATTACTTTTCCCATCTCTATTATATGTTCAAGAGTTCTCACTCTTGGGGATGGCATATGAGGGATGCAAATCAAGTTCAACTGTTTTTCTGGTGTTTTTCTGGTCT